TTCTTATGGTGGTCCCCCCGTTTCCTCCACACACCCCCAAAATGAGTTAAAATTAAGTAAATCCTTTCCTCCTAATGTTGGCCATAGGGAAATTTAGCTTTTGATATAGGGGGGCTTAACTAACTGGTCAAATTTACTCCAGGGTCTGATTAGCAATTAACAGACAAAAATCTCCCCTACACATAACTCTATTTGTAATCTATAACTTTTTATACATAAAATATGTGTACTAGCCATCAACAAGTTTAGGCTTGAAATTAGACAAATTTTTTTTTAACCATCAAAGGAGTGAAGTTCTGGAACAGCCTTTCAAGGGGAGCAATGGGGGGAAACCTAACTGGCTTCAAGACTGAGTTTGATAAGTTTATGGAGGGGATGGGATGATGACACTTCCTACAATGGCATGTCACCGATCTGCGACTGCTAGCAGCAAATATCTCCAATGGCTGGTGATGGGACACTAGATGGGGAGGGCTCTGTGTTACTACAGAGAATTCTTTCCCAAGTGTCTGGCTGGCCCATATGCTCAGGGTCTAACTGATCACCATATTTGGGGTCGGGAAGGAATTTTCCCCCGGGTCAGATTGGCAGAGACCCTGGCGGGTTTTTGCCTTCCTCTGCAGCATGGGGTCACTTGCAGGTTTAAACCAGTGTAAATGGTGGATTCTCTGTAACTTGAAGTCTTTAAATCATGATTTGAGGACTTCAGTAACAAAGCCAGAGATTAGGGGTCTATTACAGAAGTGTATGGGTGAGGTTCTGTGGCCTGCAATATGCAGGAGGTCAGACTATATGATCATGGTGGTCCCTTCTGACCTTAAAGTCTATGAGCAAACAATATTTTCCCTATTTTACATTAGGTTCCATATTTTTAAATTGTCCTACAGTAATGGCTTTAATATGTAATTATCCGCTGATTACTGGTATTTGGTATATTGTTAATCTTGGTACCTAGTTACTTACTGGAAGCAATATCAAAATCTTGAATTGATTAAAAAAAGAGATGAGTGATCTTTTTATAGTTGACAAATTAACAAATTACAATAACTATATATGTTTAGACACCCTACTAGCGTATTTGTGAATGGCTACAATACAGAAATTCAGAACAGCCAGGAAACAAGACACTTGTGGGGTAAGAACTACATTTATGTGTTTGTATCAAATTAATTATTGTGGGAATTAATTGAACTACATTGTGCCTAATTCACCCATCTTTGGCAGTGTGCGAGACTAATGTGGCTGTTTACAGTGTGGTAAAACCACATGAGAGCATAATGCTTGGCAATTGGTATTCATAAGAACGGCCATACTGGGTCAGACCAAAGGTCCATCTAACCCAGTATCCTGTCTTCCGACAGTGGCCAATGCCAGGTGCCCCAGAGGGAATGAACAGAACGGGTAATTATCAAGTGATCCATCCCCTGTTGTCCCTTTCCAGACCTGATCTTTCCCACAGTTCAAAAGCATTCAGATCTGGGGTTGTATTTAAGCCCAGTCTGGATCCAGATCTGGTTCTGAATTTCCCTAAAGTTCCCTTGATGTTCATACCGAGGTTTAGTTCGGATCCCTCTCTAATTTCAGCATT